AGTGGCACTTGATAAGTACTAAGGATCACAAAAGAAAGGGGAATGATTAAGATTAACATTAAATAAACAAATATAATTGTAGGATCTAAAGATTAACAATAAAGGAAGTTATCTTCGGACATTCTAAGTTTTCTTTTTACAGATTCATAAATCTTTTATTAACATTTTATATGATTCCTTTTTGAAAAGTTGACGTAAAAAACAAGAAAGGAAGCTAACTTCGGCACGCCGAAGTTTATATACCCTTGCAGATAGAACTTCTATGAATAGGAATCCATACAATATAAATTATATATATTTGTGTTAAAAAACAATGAAGTAATACCTGCTTTCATTTCATTCACCTATACATATTATATTTGCAGTTTTACATTCACAGATTTTCATTTTTCCTCTACATCAAACGATCGTTTGTATGGCACCTATATGATATAGTCGTCCGATTTTTACGGAATTTGCCACAAAATTTAAGACTTATATAAAATGGCTATACCTCAAATTTGATGAAAATCAGCTGAAAACTAAAAAAGTTATAAATTTAATTGTATTAATTTCTCGATCGTTCCTATGGGAGCTATATGATATAGTAGTCCGATTTTCATAAAATTTTACACAAAATTTTAGAATAATATGAAATGGCTATATTTCAAATTTGATTAAATTCTGTTGAAAACTAAAAATGTTATCGCCACCGCGATTGTCAGTCTTCCGACAACAGACACCGCCATTCTCATTCCTCTCAAATTTCTCGATCGTTCCTATGGGAGCTATATGATATATTAGTCCGATTTTCATAAAATTTTACACAAAAGTGTAGAATAATATGAAACGGCGATATCTCAAATTTGATGAAAATCTGTTGAAAACTGAAAATTTTATAATTTTTTTGTAAAACTTTTCCGATCATTCCTATGACAGCTATATGATATAGTCGTCCGATCCGGCCCGTTCCGACATATATACGAGTGAGAGTATATAGAAGACTAACTGCAAAGTTTCATTCAGATAGCTTCAAAACTGAGAGACTAGTTTGCGTAGAAACGGACAGACGGACAGACGGACAAACGGACAGACGGACATGGCTAGATCAACTCGGCTGTTGATCCTGATCAAGAATATATATACTTTATATAGTCGGAGGTGCCTCCTTCACTGCGTTGCAAACTTCTGACTGAAATTATAATACCCTGCAAGGGTATAATAAACACTTTTTATACCCTTGCAGGGTATTATAATTTCAGTCAGAAGTTTGCAACGCAGTGAAGGAGGCACCTCCGACTATATAAAGTATATATATTCTTGATCAGGATCAACAGCCGAGTCGATCTAGCCATGTCCGTCTGTCCGTCTGTCCGTCTGTCCGTCTGTCCGTCTGTCCGTCTGTCCTTCTGTCCGTCTGTCCGTCTGTCCGTCTGTCCGTTTCTACGCAAACTAGTCTCTCAGTTTTGAAGCTATCTGAATGAAACTTTGTAGTTAGCCTTCTATATACTCTCACTCGTATATATGTCGGAACGGGCCGGATCGGACGACTATATCATATAGCTGCCATAGGAATGATCGGAAAATTTTTACAAAAAAATTTTTAACTTTTTCAGTTTTCAATAGAATTGGATCAAATTTGAGATATAGCCATTTTACTATACTCTACAATTTTGCATAAAATTTTATGAAAATCGGATTACTATATCATATAGCTCCCATAGGAACGATCGAGAAATTAATACAATTAAATTTATAACCTTTTCAGTTTTTAACTGATTTTCATCAAATTTTAGGTATAGGCATTTTATATTAGTCTTAAATTTTGTGTCAAATTTCATGAAAATCGGACGACTATATCATATATGTGCCATACAAACGATTGTTTGATGTAGACGAAAAATGCAAATCTGCGAATGTAAAACTGCAAATATAATATGTATAGGTGAATGAAATGAAAGCAGGTATTACTTCATTTTTTTTAACACAAATAAATATAATTTATATTGTTGAGATTCCAAGTCATAGAAGTTCTATCTGCAAGGGTATATAAACTTCGGAGTGCCGAAGTTAGCTTCCTTTCTTGTTATTAATGATAAACGAGGAAATTAAATGAAAACAAGAACAAGCCAAAGTTTATATACCCTGCAGTTTGGAATTGAATTCTAGGATCGATTTGGACATAGGTTTTTTTCAATAATTTTGAAAGACAATCTAACCGACAAATCAAACTTTAACTAGTTATAACTAAGCCAAAAAAAAACATTAATTTAAAATCGGAAAACTTATCTATGCTAGTTTTTATAATGTTAATAAATCTGCATACTTCATTTAAAATTTTAGTAAATGAAAATTTTTATCAATTTTTTACAATTTTTATAAAATGTTGAAAAAAACGATAAAAATTTGTTTTCCTTCCGACATGCCTAGATCGACTCGGCAATTGATGCTGATTAAGAATATATATGATTTATAGGGTCGGAAATGACTCCTTTACAGCTTTTCAAACTTCTGACTAAAATTATAATACCCTGCAAAGGTATAACAAAAAAGAAATTAACTGATATTTATTAAATCAAATATTCAAAAATACAGCTTTTCAAACTTCTGACTAAAATTATAATAACCTGCAAAGGCATAATAAAAAAGAATTTAGCTGCTTTTTATTACATGAAATATCTTAATTGCTCTATACTCGTTTAAAATATAAGATCATTGTATTTGAACTTATTTGTTTAGATATACAAAATTTTGTACTCTTCATTGATACTTTCCTGGCCATTTTATAGTAAAATAAACATATTTTCCAATAACCTAGACGTCATTTAACCCCTCTTCTCGAATTCATATCTGATTGGGGCAAATCAATCAATTAGGTGCTGGCAAGAAATTAACTAATTAGAGAACGAAAAGCTCCATAAATCACACGCTAGCTGATTGGCATCTCCTTTGGCGGTGGCCACTAGCGTGGATTTGCCATAACCATGCCTAGGGGGCACCTGGACGAGCACACGCTTGCCCAGTAGACAGACACCGCCACAGCAACGGCCACATCCACATCCAAATCCACCGACACCGCCGAGAGCGTGATGAAACAAAAACAAAACCATTTAGCATTAACAAAGCAGACGCGGAGAAGACAAGTGCAAAGTGGAGGGCCAGACAATGCGACCAGTTTTCCCTTTCCCCCGGACTCGGGCACGGTGCTTAGGCCTGTTTTTTTTTTTGCGCCGACTGCAGTTGCAAGTGCAACGAGCAAATGCATCCAGACGTGGGGGTGTCTGCTGGCAAAGCAGCGTTGGAGTGGGCCACGAGAGCTGTCTGGCTCAGCTCATTGACACCGCGCCAAACTGACGTCACGAGATGGAAATGGAATCGGAGACGGAGAAGGCCTTTTAGGAGTATTCAGAGTCTTAGAGGTGTTACAGTCACGCGAGATGCACTCAGAAAAAACGGCTGCCAAGATTAATTAAATTGGCATTATATAAAGTAAGGACTGTCCATGAGGAATCCCTAATAATTCTCCCTAAAATAGTATAATAGTTTTAAATCCTAATATATTAACCCTTCTTTTTAAACGAATTCAATATGAAAATAATTTAAAACTTAACTTCGTCAAAGAACTAACTATGGCAAAGTCGCACTTACTTTCTGGCTTCTTCGCGCTAGGCTGGGCAACGTAGACGGGCAGCTGGGTGGCAGCGGCCGTAGCAAGAGCTCCAGGTCCGTCACCGTCTTGCGGCAGCAGCATGGCTACAGCACTGCTGTTGTTGCTGTTGTTGTCATGACTCCTGTTATCAGCGGACAGCGACGACGATGGCGAGTGATAAGCCGGGCCAGCTGTTCCGTTTGCCGCCCTTACCGCTGGCGCCCTGGTCGGCTGCCATTTGGCATTGACGCGAGATGCAATGGCGGGCTCGACAGCAGTCCGGGAGCCATTCTGGCTAGTGTCCAGCACCCATTCGATGGGGGAGGCTGCGTGAGAAGATGGATTTGGGGGGGAATTTAGGTTAGTTTCGCACCTGTTTTGGGGTTCGGGGGTTTTTTCTCGTAGGGAGGGATGTGGAAGGCACAACTCACCGACAACGGCGGCAGCGAGCAGAGCGCCCAGGAAGATTAGCCGGTGCACAGATAACATGTTTTGTGCGCGCATCGATAGTGCGACTCGAGCGCTGTGTGCCTATTGTTATTGTTTGCTGCTTTGGGGCTTTTCTTTTGTTTTCCACGATCGCACGCACACGCACACACATGGGCATAAACAGAGCGCGGCGCAAGTTCAAAGTCTGGGGCCCGCGGATTTCACTGTTTTGTTGGGAAAGGAACAGCAGCAGCAGCAAAAGCAGAAGCTGCCGCAACAGGAGAAGGAGCAGGAGGCGGAGAAGGACCGCAGACAGCCACTAATTGGCCCCGAATTGCGCATTTATCGGGTAGGACACGCGTCCGCCGATTCTCACATTTTGCGAGGGCATCTCTGTCTTGCTTTTCATACGTTTTGCAAGACTTCGCAAGTGGACAACTGGCCCACCAAAATTAGAACTAGAACTTCACTCCACTCCGCCCAATTTGGATGGAAAAACTGCTTCACATTTCACGGACGAGGCGAGTGCGATTTTTCAGGCGGATTTTCATCACGTGATTTTAGTTGGACACTCCGCCGTTTTGCAATAATTTCGTATTCTCCGCGGTGGCCGGCACTTCGAGGTGTCTTGTCCGTCCGTTTGTTTGTATTAATTGCCTTTATTTTATGTTAAATATACAAATTTTGTGCAGCGAAAACTCCGCGTTTGTGTGTGTAATTTTGCAGTGTGACCGAAACTTTGCGAGTGTGACTGCCGTTGATAAGAACGATTTCCTCCGGATGGTCTGGCAGCACTATTGTCGTAAGCTCCCTATTCACCGTGATATCTGGCAACGTTATCCATTTATTACGATACCACATGCTAATATCGTAAAATCCTCCCACCTCCCAACATTAACTTCTTTCGTTGGAAAATCGCTTGCTATGAAGATACATGATAAAATTTTGGTTTTGATCTAACATAACTTTATTTCCTACAACTGCAGGTACCAGGAAAGTGCCCAGGAATCCAATCATAACAGAAATGCAGAGCGCACATCGTGAATTTTACATTGCGTTTCGGTCGGAGAGTGATTATCTATTGCCACAACAGACTCAAGATGGTCAAGGGGGCATGCCGGGCTCGGCACCCTTCCTGAAGCCTGCGGATATTGCAAAAAATTATAACTTATATCCCACAACAAATGTAAGCAAGTGCTTCTTCTTGCCAGCCGCGTGTGGGACCATGAAAAACAAAGTAAGAAACTTACCTAAATACAACACAAAGGGCACGAATCCCCAGTGGAATGTGGTCTGCAGGGCGCCGACGACGACTCCCAGACGCTCCTTGACTCCCTCAGAAAGCTCCATTTTCGTAAATATCAGTTATTTTTTCTCTGCCAATTATGAAATAAAATCCAATGCACCGACTAGAGCTGCAAGAACGTCGATTGTCAGTATCGATGTTTTTAAGCATCGATATTTACTCACTGTCAAGAAATAGTGGGTAAGAAATGTTTGCCTTTTGTTGATTTTATGCGAAAATTGCGTCGCAGACTGTCCGAACGAATATGATTTTCAACATTCAGAATTTGTTAATAATAAAGTGACGATATTTTCAAAGAACCATTCTGTAAACTCTCTCCAGGGAAACAACGATAGGTCAATTGATATATTATTTCTTAGTCACCATCGATTGAACGATAGTATGGCGGTTTATTTGAAAAATTATACCCGTTTACTGAATGGTAGCATATTATATTTAGTTACAATATCACATGTTAATTGGCTGCATCAATAAATTGATCCATTATGAAACTTCGAGTGCCTGAGATCTTAGGGGCACCACTTTCTGTGTTGTAGAATAAACGGCGCTCAAAGCCATCCTTGTTGATTATGCCGATACGTACCACTCCGCCGGAGCTTCCATCCCGGTAAATGGCATGCTGGACAGCTGTGGAGGATAAAACGTTCTGGTTTTATATTAAAAGAAGAAGCGAAGTTACACCCACCCTTCTTGACAAACTCGACGCAGTCTTCCTGCTCCATATTGGGTTTGTGGTGCTCTTTCACATAGCCGTAGATAAAACTCGATCCGGAGCCTCCAATCGTGCAGGGATCGCGGGTCATCATACCCCCCAGCGGAACGCTGTACACCTGACCCCCGTTCTGTTCATCCCATCCGGCCACGATGATGCCGGCGAGCAGTGAATCACGATAATTGTAGCAAAAGTTGCGAAACTCAGAAGCGGCCTCTAAGACGAGAGCCTCCTTATCAGTTCGGTTCTCGTGGTAGTTGAGCGAGTAGGCCACAATGTCGGCTATGGCCTGGGTATCGGCGGCAGAGCCACTACGGCAGCAATATATCTTATCTGTGATGCGTGTTAGCTTGTCGGTGACTCGATTGGTCACATAGGCGCCAGCACTGGTGCGGGAATCCGCTCCAATCACGACTCCTCCGTCAAACTCCACAGCCATAATGGTGGTCTGAAACAATGGATGATTATGGGGTTTTATGGTTATTAGTCAAATACTCACGCCAGTGCTTATGGGCTTTTGGGTAAAGTCAAAGTCGAAATCGGGATCCATTTTATATTTGGAATTTACTATACAATTTACAATTCAATTCCAGTCTTTTAAATGTCAAATTATATTTGAATATGTGCTGCAAGGCAATCGATACTAAGCATAGTGTAAAATCGTTATTTCTTCCAATTTGAATGCACTTATCGCTCTTTTTAAACTTCGATAGTATCGATAGTAACATCGATATCTTTGTACGCTTTCAACACGCGGAACGTTTTGTTTTGGTTTCGTAAAAACATATATTAAAACAAACAACAAATGGCATATGTGGCTTTAAGCGAGGCGGAGAAGACTTTTATCCTTCATGGCGTGGAGGTAAGCTACTCGAACTCCTAGGAGATTCCCCTACTAATACGTTTTTAGGAGGACTTTCGATGCGACGGGCGTTCTCGGAGGGATTACCGACCTATGGAGCTGGAGACGGGGCTGGTGAGCAATGCTAGTGGCTCTGCCCGCCTCCGCCTGGCCAACACAGACATCTTGGTGGGTGTAAAAACGGAAATCGATGTACCCGATCCACTGACGCCAGATTTCGGCAAGCTAGAGTTCTTTGTTGATTGGTAAGAAGATCGGTTGGACTTATATCTAGCATACTCCTCACTTCCATTCACTTTGCAGCTCGGCCAATGCAACGCCGGAATTCGAGGGACGTGGAGGCTCGGATTTGGCCCAGGAGCTGGTGCTGTCCCTTCAAAACGCCTACGAATCACCACTGGCTTTTGATTATCGCACATTGTGCCTTATCCCTGGTCAGCAGTGCTGGAAGCTCTATATAGACATATTGGTAAGGCTCATAAGTACGCTTTGGTAACGTTTTAATGACTTCTAATCCGGCAGATTTTGGAATGCGGTGGCAATCTTCACGATGCCGTATCCCTGGCCGCCAAGGCCGCACTTTTCAACACAAAGCTGCCCCGGGTGACCGCCACACTACTGGACGCCGGCATCACAGACCTCATTATATCGGATAATCCGTACGACTGCACCCGCATTGGAATTGACACTGTGCCTCTGTTGGTCACCGTCTGCAAGATTGGCGACTTCTGCCTCGTGGACCCATCAGCGGAAGAGGAGGTTTGCAGCACCGTCAGCATGGTGGTATCCGTATCCATGCGCAATGGGGAAGCCTTCCTATCGGGCACCCATCTGACAGGCGGCGGTGCTATGCACCGGGACACCATGCGCAACTGCCTTCAACTGGGCCTGTCCATTGGCGAGCACCTGGACACTCTGCTCAGAAACATGCTAAAGCAGGAGCAGGACCGCGTGGGACCCAAGCGGCCCAAGACAGTTGGTTTCCTTAAATAAAGCTTTTGTTGGTTTAGTGTGAAAATTTACTATTTACTCCAACAAATGACTGTGAGCACCACGCTGCTCTCTTTAGTTTTAAGGCTAAACGCTATATGCTGCTGCTGCTGCGATCTTCTAGCTACTGCTCCTTGCGCTTCTTCGTCTGTCTAGTGGCCGGAGCTGGTTTCTTCTCCTTGGGCTCCGGCTGCTTGCCCGTCAGCAACGAAGTCAGCATCTCGCTGATCTCGGGCATGTCGTTGCCCATCTGTGGAGTAAATACCGCGTTAATCTTGTTAAATGGATCTAGAAGGTTCTCTGGACTTACCTTTGGGAACTGCAGGTTGTCTATTTCCTTCTTGGTCTCGGGATCGTTAATCATCTTGGGCAGCACCAGCATAAGCAGCAGGGGCAGAACCATCATCAGCACCATGGGGCTGAACAGGAAGTCGGTAATCTGCAAACAGACAGTTCTAGTTTTTCCTGAAGTATTTACGTAATGAAGACAACTTACCTTCCACTGCTCCCTAGTCTGGAAGTACTTGAAGGGCATCAGTGGCTTCATTCTCAGCGGATAAGGCACCTGCATGATTTGCGCCGGCTGGACAAAGTTCACCTTGCGGGCACGGAACTTTCCCTTCGGATTGATCTCGACGCGCACCTTAAAACGGGATAACAAGGGTCAATGGCGTCACCTTAAGGAATGCATCTTGCCACTCACCGGCTCGTAGAATACATCAGGATGGTGGACATCCAGGATATAGCTGCCGGAGGGAACTCCGCTGATCAGGAACTGGCCATCCTCGCGCACGAATCCCTTGAACTCGCCGTCGTTTATGGAAACGGTCACCTCAGTCTGCCATTTGGATGCCTCCTTATTCACAGGCGACCCAGGACCTCTCGGAATGATGCTGTCAGGCGGCGAGACACGGCCCTCAATGGTGTAAAGACCGGAGACTTCATCTACCAGCTCGTCCTGGCCGATTATCACCTCACTGCTACCAAGGACGAGCAGAGCCGCGAAAACAATACAGCTAACCCACATTTTCAGTCAATTAAGATTTTTTCATGAAAATCATCCAATTAGAGGTGGAATATCATCGATGTCAGCAGTTATATTATCGATGTTTTCAACGAACGCGATATATCGATAATTACAATACCATACGATACTATTGCAAAATGCAATCACATGTCAATATTTTGCCCCCAAGTGTGACCGTTTTGTAACGGCGGTTGACATGCGAGCCAACATGACTTAAATTTAAAATATGTCTTTTGGCACATAAAAACCAATTTTTCTTTTAACTTGCTTATGTTACCATTATAATGAACAAATAAGATATTCATGGCTGTGGCTTGGAAAGATCTGCCCCTTCCTTTTTATATTTGCTGTACCTCGAGAAAAGCCAATAACATAATTTACATACCTATTCTCTGAGATTAAGAAAAAACAGATCTTTATTGAACACCTACAATATATTCAATATTACCGATGCACTTCTCAATAACCTTAAAGCTCGCTCTCAATGGACTGAACTATCGATATTTGGCCGAGACACCTGTATTAGTGTGTTTCTCGACTGTATTTCGCGCTCTCCGACAACTTACTGGCTCAGTCGTTGGCGGCAATTTGTGCGGTTCGGTTTGGTTAACTTGTAGCTCCATCGGTGCCGGAGTCCATTGAACAAAACGTACACAAAAAAAAGCTAACGCGGTGATTTTCGAACATTGTTGACCGCGATTTTAGGTTAGTGCGTGTGCCTTGACAAACGGGTTTCCAGTCTTGAGCCTGAGTTATTCGCAATGAATGGGTTCTACCTATGCGCAGGTGTGCCAGTGCCACTCGACAAGTGCCACATGCCGTCTGCAATAATATGCAATTGGAGGGCAGCAGGCCGTCGAAAGTGAACTTAAGATCCGGCCTGATCTGGTGTCAATGGGAGATGGTGATAAACTTGAAACAGATTCCCTAATCAGTTCATAAAATTCCAAAGTTAATGCTTTTGAGCCGTGGCTTTGTTGTTTCTTTCCACTTCAGCTATGTCGCATGTACAGTGAAACCGGTTTCAGTTCGGAATTTAATGATGCTGAGATCACAGGCCCCTCTTTCCCATTCCCCTTTCGGCGATTGCATAGATTTATTTTGTTTTTTTCGCACACACATTTCAATGGCAAGACGCAATGCAAGTCTTCTAGCACAATGGAGGTGTATATATCATTAATTAAGCAAGTTTGTAGTGAGCAGTGAGTGATGTCAAGCGTCGTGTTGCGCCTGCGCGAAGATGGTGATGTAAACAAGGCACGGCACGATGGACATTCGGTGTTATCTCGGAACGTGCCTTGGTCCCTATTCGGGATTGAGCACAGAGACACACACACTCGCGGCCATGTGTCCAGTGCCTTACGCAACTGCAACTGCATTTGCTGATAAATCAACTGTGACAGAGCCACTTTCTACGCTGGTACCTGTAGTCATAATTAGCGACAGCTCCACAATTGTTACAGTTTCTGTTTTTATATTTTGCCGTCTGGAGTGCTCTCTGGTCATTTCCAGATGATCTGCGTTACGTTCCGTGATGTCATCTAATGGCGATTTTATGTGCATATTCGAATCAATAAACGAGTCGTTAAGCAAGTCGCTTTTCTCACCACATTTTCCAAAGCTTTATAGCGCCAACACACCTGCTCGTATCTCAGACAATTAATTCTTACTTAGCTGACGACGACAGTGAACTTATTTAAAAGGAATTTAAGCATAGCAATCAATAAATGCCAAAATACATGGAGTGGATTCAATGTTGTGACCTCTATTTCATTGTTGAACTACATTTCAAGATCTTATACATTACAAAATTTAGACATTCCTCTAACTAATTTTCCATTATACTTAAAATACTTCTTTAATATATGGTATATGGTATCAACTAGTAGCCGCAAGTTAATGGATGGGCAGGGGACCGGAAAAGCAATTGTCTGTCATGTTTTTCCACCTATAGACTAAGCATTAATTTAGGACCCCTTCTGACACATGCCAGTCCAGTTGATTGAGCAAATGTTGATCAATCTTTTTTCGTATGCAAAGAACCCAAGCGAAGTCCTGCCACAAACTATAAAGAACCCACCCTTTGGTTAATTCACTACTTATTCGGTTGAAGGGAGGGTCATCGAGCTGCTTGGATACCTGGAAAAAGGGAGGCACAACAGGGCACCATGGCGGAGTGCTAACCCAGTTTACACAAGTGCTGGCACGCGATGTCCGGCCAAGATTGGTTGCAATGGCCAATTGCCATGGCAAAGGAACTATGCTGACCACCTTGACCGGATCCCCACCACCATTCCCCCATTTGGGGTCAAAAGCCAATAGCTGGGGTTGGCGTGTGCTTCAAAATTACCCAGAATTACCCAGACGACGACTCACGCTTAACGTCTGATAAGGGGGGTAAAAATACACGGAGATATAGGCTTGCTTTCTGTCAGTGATTGGGTGATAAAAACTAGGACTAACCAAAGTCAAGACCAATCTTATCAATTTACATTACGATTGCCAATTATGAGCATAAACCGCTAGCCACTTGAGAGAGAACCGCCTTACGCAAGCCGTGAAGTGGATGATTTGGCAGTAAGCAATCGGAGTCGTTTACCTTTTGGCTGCGATCTACATACCTTTCGAATATGGCCAACTCCGGCCGTAGCCAAACCCAGGCTTAAACGTTGATCGGAGCAATTAGAGTTGGGCTGTCAAATATGTTCGAGTGGATATATTCCGTGTGTGGACTGAGAGACACACACCGACACCGACAGCATTCAAATCGCGATTATTCGCTGCTGTACGGGTTTCAAAACTGGCTTTTTAACAAGGGCATGACCAGGTCTATGTGTGCATATATGCATTATATATAAATATGTATATACAACACTATATAGCCCACACAATGAACATGTTAGAGTCAAGTGCTCGGGCTCGGGCCCACATAATGGCTCATTGTTGTTGTGGAAAAGTCGCTAATCAGTTTTGTCTCACGTTCAAAAACAAAAGCCACAAGTCCATGGAGTAGCTCCTCCATGGGGGCCAACGGCTATATGGCTGCGAAACACTTATTAATGTGCCAAGAATTTAATGGAAAGCATTTATCGTTTTTGTTGCTGTGCGACCGCGGCAGTCGGTGAAATTTTCGGTCTTTCGGTTTTCACTTTACCTTCTAGGGAACGAGCTACTGCCACAGAGGTACATGTGTATGCACCTACCGATAGATAGATAGCTCCTCCGCGAAGGTCTAGGTAAATGTGAATGCTCTTTAGATAAATCACTAGCAATCAATATAACTCTGACTTCCAAGGTCTTGCCCATTGTGCGGTTCTTATGTATCAAACTCTTTATTAAGATGCCAAATTTTGAGTCCCAAAACAATGAGTGTATTGAGCTTAAGTTCAACCTGGGCTTTAATTAGCATTTGGCTGGCATTTCAAAGAAAGGCAAATGAATATAAAAAAACACACATATATGGCGCAGATACAAAACAGCCCAAGGTTAATCGTAAACGCTTTCAAATTCAAGTTCAATTCACATTCTCGGCACGGAGCGGGCAGTTCAGAGGGAACCCAGACTCGCGAAGTGGCGGCTCCTCGATGAATCACCTTCATCTGTATTCCACGACAGCACATGGGAAAATACCAGATACGCAGCTACCCAGCATAATATATGTGTTGTGCCCACTCACTTCCTCATCGATCCGAAGCCGAGATCTTGGGGACGAAAGCAAAAGTCATGTTCTGCCTCAGACACGAGGGAACTGACCTCGTTAATGTGGCGATCACCCGCGAATATCGACATCAGCAATTCGGGGGCGAGTGGAACATACATACATATTCAAAAAGTGGTGGCCCCCGTAAAAAAACTCCCTTGACAGGCGGCGAGCGATTTGCCTACACCCCAGTAAACGCTTAATTTATTGCCCCACCAGCTTAGCGGCTAATTAGTTAACCGCCAAACCATTAACTCGATTTATTATTCTAATAATTGTACTATATGTGCGCTTATTACAAACATTACGCATACGCAGTGGTGCCTGACGACCAGGAGCAGCGAGGTGATAAGCCCGGAGTGGCCAGCGCTTGAAAGCTAAACGGTGTTAAGCGTTACATCCGCCGCCCCTCTAAATATAGCCCTATCGCTGGAACACAATCTCGGCCGATATCGGATGGCATCAGCAGCAGCATTCGTAATTAATTGAGTGCAGCTTGATTTAGGGCGAACAGCAAAGTAAATGGAGTGTTTTATTCACTTTTCTGGTTATCAAGCAGATACTGATGATGGGAATCTTGTTTCAGGAAATGTATATATTTAGAGGATCTCAAGTCAAGGTTTTTTATTAAGGTTTGCCATAAAAAATCATTAGTTAATAGAAAAATAATAATAATTTAGCGATTTAACTGCAGAAATGGGAGGTATTCAAAACATTTTCAGGAAGTACAACTTCAGCATTGTATCTCTGATTAAACAATAAACAAAAGGCAATTAGCATTAAGTAATTTATTCCTATAGGAATTAGGAATTTGAAATTAAATAAGTATTAAGATAGAAACACTATGATATACTTTAAAGACCCCTTTCCCCAACTTTGACTCCCCGTCATGGTTCCACACCAAAAGAGTCTACCATATATTTAGAAGCCTTCTGTCAATAGTTTGATTGCTATCGAGTATGTAGATATATAGTCCAGATACACACACTCCTCGCTCCTTCATTGTCTAGTTGGGTTCGCTGGAAACGTGCCCCCGATAACCGGGTGGCAATTATTTATGCCATGGTAATTAAACAGACGAGAGACGACAGAAGATGGAAATGACGAATGTCTGACGATGGTTACAGATTGTTTATATTGGAGTAGGGAACAGGGGAGAGTCGGCGGCACTTTGGGGGCAACGGAAGCCGGGACACGGTTCGCTTCTGATCACTCCATTCCGATTCGATTCCAACTCAGAGTTTCGCATTGTCTCTGCTCCATCCACGACAGGTGCTATATGACGATGACGCTGCCGCTGACGAAGCGCGGCTGGTTGGCGCTGGCGACGGCGCTGCTGGCGGTGGCCACCTGGCCGGATCCGGGCCAGA